GGTCACCGCCGAGTGCATTAGTGTCATGGACAGGGTAAAGGTCACATGGGACAGAGCCGGAGTGTTCAGCCAGAGAAAAGCCAGCAAACTGACAGGGCAAAACCGCCACTGTAAGGAAATGACCAAAAGCATTCTTAAAACCCTCTCAAGTATTTAAGTTTCTCAGGCACACACAGATAAGAAGGGGCTTGATGACCTGGTGTTTCAGAAAGGAGAATGTTCTGATAAAACAGGAGGAGAAGTCAAGCATCCGCGGCATTCCAGATACCAGGGCATGTGTGGGGTTTGAGGGTGAATCAGGATGGGCCTAAAACGATTCTGCTTTGGTAAGCAACCCTTTCAAGCTGTGTTCAAGAAGGTGGTAGGGTACGAAGAACTGAAAAAACAAAAAAAAAAAAGAAGCGGCCTGAGCGATGTATACGCAGGGCAGGTCGTATACTATGTTACTGTATATATATAGTACTCCCATAAAAATGACTCAACTTACTTTCATTTGAATATTTTTATGGTGTTTACTTCCAATTATAAAGGTGAAACTAACATTGTGGACATTACGTTAACTGATTTCTAAAGCAAACATATTAAATGCCCAACAGACCTCTCGCTACAAGATAAGTCAGTGTAACTCTCATAACATCAGAGATTACCATTACACATGCAAAATGAAGATAGCTAACATCATCTTCAATGTGCTGAAGGAGGTTAGAGGGGAGGAGTTTTAAAAGTGGAGGTCTCAGTGTACAGCAGGCACTTCATGTAAATGTTTTTGGTATAGAAAGTGGCCAGGGATTGTCTCTTGTTCTTCATCACATTGTGGTCAAAAGACAGGTGGTGCTTATTTTTCTTCCGGGCAGCGGGCAACTCGGCATCTGCAGTTGAGGTGATCCTCGTGCACTCTCCCTCCTACAATCCCTGCATTTAGAGCAGACTAGTTGTTACAAAGTAGATTACTGGCTCAAAAATATGCTGGAGTAAAGAGTATACATACATTTTTTCAAGGAAGTAGATGCATTACTCATTCCTTTCAGAAACTGCCTGGTTCTCTACATGGTGTATGTCTGATATCTTTAACAGCAGCTGCCCTGGTCAGCTTGTAATGCAGATCCATGCCACATTGGGAGTTGCCAGTTCTCATACAGAGTGTGTGTTTTCTGTGCATGTTTGTTGTTCTGTTTGTATTTGTGTCTGTGTATCATTCTGTTAACTGTGTCTCTGTTTCTCACAGCCAACCAGTCAGAACCTTTGTACAGAGAAACCAAGCTATCTACTGGGCATCATAGTAAGTCTCACTGTGCCGAAAACACCGCCTTTAAAGTTATTAAAGTGCTGTGTTTTACAGGAGTATTAAGGTTTGCTAATATGAATATTATTGTTTTAGTGCTGTGTATTTCATCACCCACATTGTGCTGGTCTGCTGTAAGGGCCCCCGGTGAGTGTGATTCCTCAGTTTTACAAAGTCCTACAAAGAATATTCTTACAAAGAATATTTATAAAACTGCATTTAATCTTCCACTCTCTTTGTAGGAGGAAGTTCCCGTGGAACATCATCCTGCTGTCCATCTTTGTAAGCCAGATTACTTGTGGTTGACTTGTGAGTCAGGAACTAGAAAAGGTTTCCTGGACTGAAATACTTAAACTTTATCTAGGTGTGACTTTATATTAGAACTAAGCAGTGAGTCACCACACTCACACACACTGTGTTTGCATAATACCTTTTGATATGTTGTTTCTCTGTCTGTGTTTTATCAGCTCTGTGTGCAAAAAGGCTCCATGTTTTACTTCATGGATCAGTTTTGTCTGTCAGTAAAGGTGGACTGTTATTATTCAGCTTTGTGGGGGTCATTTCTACATGTTAAATCTTCCCCTGAAAGCTGCAGTCCAGCTCTATTACAATTGTCCCCCCCCCTTTTAAACCTACTACTAGAAGTTTTTACCAGGTTATGAAACAGTCTCAGTTTAATACTGATATCCTTATATGACCTACATAAACAAACGAGACCATCAGTGAGAAGATTGGCTATTTGTATGTTGTTATTCTCTTAAAGCCTGCCACCGGGTTAGATTAGGTGGTGGAAACACTACCGCTTTTGTCCACAGGGGCCGCCAGAATCGCCACAAAAACAAAGTTCCTTAAGCTTAATCACTGAAATGTATATTAATATATTGCAGTAATGCATCATATATCGTGAACCATCCAATTTTCTGCATATTTCGCGGTCCAGTCCTCTATAGTTTAGGTTTAGGTCAGTTATGGGATTATTTTTTCTTCTTCTAATGTTGTGATGTAACTGCAGTTTCTTGATCGACAAACAAAACTTTCTTTTACTTTTTACAGACCCTGGCTTTGTCCTACATGACTGGATCTATTTCCAGGTAAAATAAACTTGAAGCTATAGCCCATATATATTCTCTTAACATGCAGTCCGTTTGCCTCAGAATAAACTGTGTGTTGCTCTTTGTTTTTAGTTACTATGACACAAAGGCAGTGTTTCTGGCGCTGGGTATCACTGCCGTCGTCTGCATCGCCGTCACAGTCTTCTGCTTCCAGACAAAGGTGTGTGTGTGTGTGTGTGTGTGTGCGTGCGCGCGTGCGCGCGCGTGCTTATCAGCTTTTAGTGGCCACAGTGTATTTGTGCAGCCACATATTTGTTAACAAGCCTGTTGGTGGTTTCTCTTTCCAGGTGGACTTCACCAAGTGCCAGGGCCTTTTCTGTGTCCTTGGGATTGTAGTATTTGTGACTGGCATCATAACAACCATAGTGCTGTCCTTCAAATATGTGAGTTAAGGCTGATGTGAACAAAACAATGTTTCCTGAGAACACGCCTTTTCAAGTTTCCACCATTGTAATGACCGTTTGTTGTTGCAGATTCTGTGGCTTCACATGCTGTATGCAGCTTTGGGAGCCATAGCTTTCACTATGGTGAGTATTAAATGCTATGCAATTTTACTTTTTTCATTTTTTTACAGTTGCCCTTGTGGTATTACTTTGTGTATTACTTTCTTACTGAACACTTTTTACAGTTATTCTGAATGTTTCTTCTATGTTTCTTGTAGTTCCTAGCGTACCACACGCAGCTACTGATAGGAAACAGGAAGCATTCAATCAGCCCAGAGGAGTACGTGTTTGCTGCACTCTCCATCTACGTCGACATCATCCAGATCTTCCTTTTCCTGCTGCAAATTATCGGTGCTTCAACTAAATAAATGCACCAAAGGGTACACGACCAACTTGGGTCAACAGGGTGCAAAACCGTACTGTGCTTTTTAAAACCTTTTGCTTTGTTTTCAGTCAGAATCAGAATACATTTTATGAAATCATGATGCACTCAAGGGAAGGGCTGAATTTGAGATTTTGTCATATTATAGGTTAATCCTATGTACAAAAAACACTTTCTGATATCAATATTTGATAAATTGCTTAAAGCAGATATAGTGTTTAAAGGAGAATATTAATACTTGTAATATTAAATACAATATAAATAGCGCAAATATCTATAGACACTGGACTGCCAGCTGCAACATTTATTCACTTCTGCTGGACTTTAAGGCAGACAGTGTCTGAACATATTTCTCTGCATGTTGATGTATTGCTATACATAAACTGGGTCACATCTGTATAAACGTGGAGGAAATAGGCAAACGTGGAGGAAATAGGCAAACGTGTTTGTTCAAACTCTAATTTGGCAAAACAGAGACCCGCCTCTCTGGTTGGCTTTGAAGTACAGTAGGGGTGGGCAGTGCATGTTATGATTTATGAATAATTGATACATTACTTCTAAATACATTTAAATTACCACTCCGTTTTTCAAATATTAGGTATTTCTTATATTTGCTGTTAAGTACTTAAAGGAATGGTTCCAGATTTTTGTAAAGAAACACTTATTTGCCTTCTTGTTGAGAGTTAGATGAAAGGATTGATACCACTCTCGTGTCTGTCCGATAAATATAATACAACCAGCAGCCGGTTAGCTTAGCTTAGCATAAAGACTAGAAACAAGGAAACAGCTAGCCTACCTCTGTCTGAAGATAAAAAATCTGCCTATCAGTACCTCTAAAAATGACTATTTAACATGGTATATGTCATTGTTCAATCCATTAAAAAGTGTACAAACATCAGGTTGTGCTTTTATGGATGCTATGTGTCTGACCTCCTGGCCTCGAGCAGAGATTTCCTGAAGTCTCCACTGGAGGGTTTATACTTTTATACTTAGGTGTTAATTAGAGCTTTACAGGTGCTGGTAGGCTTCCTGTTCCCTCCTGTTCCCAGCCTTTATGCTAAGCTAAGCTGCCAGTTGGCTGTAACTTCATATTCACCGTACAGGCACGGTTTTAAATATATTTATAACATACATAAAAAAGCAAAAAGGTTTAATGGTAAATAACAAATATTTATTGTGTAAACTCGGAACCAATGACTCTGCACTATGAAGAGTGTTTGTGTCTAAAAAGTGATGTTACACAATGTAACATTTGGTACTGAAGTACAAAATCACACCTAATGTCGGCATTATTGATACTTTGGTGATTGATCTGCCCACCCCTGACACCCAGCTCAGTACACCTAATGACAGCCTCAGACCTGCAGTCATGGGGTTCTTTTATCAAGCCTTTGCTGGTGGTCTTTAATACACGTGTTGCTTTATTCTAACTTTATACATTCCACATCACTATAGTGCCTTCACAATGACGTTTCTGAGATTAGATTTTTTTACTTTAAGTATGTGTACAGTACTCGATAAGCTTTTATAGTATTGTTACATACAGTATGTGCCTGTTTATATACTCTTGTGTTAGTCTGAGTTGGGTCAGAAACTGAGTGCCAGCAGGGTGGGTTTGTCCATACAGGGTAACAATGTCATTCCTGAAAGTCAGTGAGCTACAGTTAATGTGGAACTGTCCAAAAACATGATCAACCCCATCCAGCTGGTCCTCCACACATGTTCATATTTATCACAAATATAGACCCAAGCCACATATAATCTTTGACTCTAAACAACTAAAGCAAAACTGTTCAATGTGTGGAACAGATAGTCAGCGTGGGCTTTGTAAATATACATATCAATGATGAGGGAAGTCTGTTTGCCTTTTCATATCAAATAAAGATTTGTATTTGTGAGTTTTGATGTGGTTTATATGCAGTTATACCAGTGATGAGTCTCATTTAAGACAATAATTCAGAAAATAATAAACATTTATTTCATATTTCAGAACATCAGCATCAGGGCTAATAAATATGTGATCATTCTCCAGATTCAATGATGCAGTCAACAGTATGATCCATCCCTTGTTTCATTAGCAAGACTAATCAAATCTGCAAAAAAAAAAAAAAAAGCGAAGCAAAACATCCGTTCGATTAAAGGCTCTGTCACAAGAGCGTTCCTTCTCAGATTTCCTGCAACAGCCTGTAGAAGAAATACTAACCCACTTCTGAATGCCTCAAAGAGGTTTTGGATGTTTTAAACTCAAGCACATGAAATTGACATCTCTTCTGTAATCAGTCTTTGGGGCTGTAGTGAAAGTCACTGTGTCAGTAGTGACTTTCAGGTTACGATACAGTAGCCACACACGTATGTTAGTGGTCCAGTTTAACATCCTCAGCAGGATGGCGGTAGCGACTCCCTTCATAGTCTCCCTCGTTTGACTTTCTCATCCTCTGTCGGACCTTCAGCTGCTTCAGTCGGTTCTTGTCCACTTGTCTCTTGGCCAGGAGGAAGCTGATGATTCCTGTGGGGAGGCCTATTATCCTGGAGGGCAGAGATCGATAATTGTTTTACTCAGTGGACGACACATACAGTATCTATTATTGATGCTGAGTGTAAAAAAAATCTATTGACATACTGTAATGTGGAAGGATTCAAAAGAATTCAAGAAGTGTTTGACTATTGTCCATCCTGTTTATATGAATGAGTGTAGAGATTATAATGTAGATATTATGAAGGTATTAGACTGTTTTTGTTTTACCTTGGTGTACAGAATAAATCTACAGTAGAGCGTATAATCTGGCTAGAACTTCCCTTTCAAACACTGGTTTGGTTCTGGTGCATGAATATAAACACCTGCATTGTTTTTCTGTCAGATTGTTACAATAGTAACTTCCAGTATCTGCAAAACAGCTGTTAGTGCCTACAACAGCACTTTAAATAACCAGAATAGGAAGAAGAATGAATAATTTACTAGATCTGACACACACACTGCCAGGGTTGTTTTTGAGGCAATAAACCAGCAGCAGGGACAGTAAGGACTCAGCCTTAATGGTACGCAATCTACCAAGTGAGCTACGTCAGCGCCCCAGACCACAAGACCTTTTTTTAAAACTGAAGTGATCACACATATTCAGAATATATATAAAATGTAACTTTTTCCAATCAACTACTCTAACTAAAGCTGACCCAGCAGCAGAGGGCAAACTGCTCCTTTCCTACAGGGACAAACAGTCTTTCAATGTTTGGTATAAACATATTGTTAGTTGAGACTCAAATGAAGTACATTTTCACATTTTGAGATTATATGATGATGTAAGGGCTACGTTATTTAGTTGAAGGTCTATCATTTCTGAGTTGTATTTGAAATAGGGCTGCACAATTCATCAAAATAGTATTGAAATTGCAATATATGAAGTGCAATATACATATTCCATAGGTTTTCTCTTCAGTGAAAATGAAAATTCTGCTGCAAGAATGATCATTCCCACAAATCGTGAATCATATTACACTTGTAATATCTGTGCAGCCCTAAAGAAGGGAAAAGGATGTTAACGGACTGTACTTATGCAGGGCTTTTTAGTCTTTTACCCTACACAGTCATCCATTCACACACATTCATACATCACAAACAGAAACTAATTCACATTCATTCACTGATGACCTAGCACCTGGTTGCTTAAGGACACTTTGAGCTGGGGAGTGAACCACCAACCTTCTGATCAGTGGATGACCCACTCTACCTCCTGAGCCTGTGGCTTAGACTTTTATATGGCACATTTTATGAAGAGCTCGAAAAAGGAGACAAAGATCTTTGTTTGCAATGTAATCATGTATAAATGATGTGGTGCTTTACCACTACAACTGTGTATTTGGTGTCTTATAAGTCCATGTTGGATTGGCACACAAAGTAACACTGTGACTGCTGCTGTAAGTACTACATCAGCTAGCTGCAAACTGCTGATACTTTATATTTTAAATATATATATTTTAAAACATGACATACTCACAGGTACATTCCCACTGGTAGAGGGGTATTTGCTGACTGATAGTCTACACATCCTTTCTAAACATTTGGTTAGACACTAATGTGTAAAGGAGACTAACCAGGCATAGCCAATCGGCATCATGGGGTTCTTCGCCTTTTTCTTAGGAATGTATTCAGGACCCTCGGGTTCCTCCTCCTCCTCCTCCTCCCGAGCTCTCCTGTCGTCTGTCCTCTGGGTCTCTGTCCTGGAGCTGCACAGGGAGGCAGTAGAGGAGACATGTAGCGGCCGACAGCGGGCAGCGTGCAGCCGAAAACACTGACACACCGCCGGGGTTCCGCTGCTCTGCGTGAGGAGCCACCGGGCGGGAACACAGTGGACACCTAAAAGGAAAAAAGACCTTTACTCTTCAAAGACTTCTGTCCCCTCTGCGGAGAGGTTAGATACCCTGCACCATGTAAGCGCCTGTGCTGTCCAAACAAAACAACACTACTAACGCTATATGTCGTTATTTACACTACTGACACTGTCGCTGCCCAAAGGTTTCTTACTTGTTACTTTGAATTATCTCTGGCTGCCAGACTTGCTGACAGGTGTGAGTCTAACACAGGTTTTACCTTTCAGTGCTGTCCTAACCGCTGTCACGTAGGCTGCCGCCATGTTTGTTGAATAATCTCAGTCTGCCATGCGCAGTGGCATTTTAATCACGTGTGTGCTGCCACCTGGCGGACAACGTCGATGCAGCGCTTCAATGACATACTGTGGCAAATAAACAGTGCAAACACACAAAGCCAAGCAGTGGAGAGTTTATGTCAACATTTTATTATTAACACTTTCTTTCACATCATTTTACAAAAAGACATACAATATAACTTGAACCTATGGAGGCAAGTAAGCCTCAATTATACATTTATGGATAAACAGCAATTACACAATTCAGGGCGGTTCCCTTGACTGAGAGCCAAACAGACAGAAACCAGCAAGCAACTGGAGGAAAGAGAGCAGCATATTTACATGAGTCAGTTTGACCTTTTTTTGTTTGTTTTTTTCCAAAGAGCCGCAGAATCATCTGTACAGTCGAGATAATAAACTCACAAAACAAGTCTAAAAACATCTCCAGTGCTACCATTATGTATGTGTTACATATGAGCATTGAAAAACACCCTGAACATCCACTTTATTGTTGACTGTTTAATACCAACAACCATGGAGTGGGGAGTGAAAAAAAACAAAACAGGAGGGATGAATGGAGGGGTTTAATCTTCCAGGGCGTAGTTGGGGTTGACGACCAGAACAACTTCTTCGTCTGTGCTCGCTGACTCTGAGCCCTTCAGCCCCGCCTGGGACAGCTCGATGAGGATGTGATCCTGGGGAAACAGAAACACGTCAGTTATGTCCGAACTTGTGTTAAAATGACTCTTTCTGCTGGTTTAAATCAGTGCTAGTATTGTTGCAGAGGGTGGACTCACATAGTGCACCAGCCTGTGGAGGACCTTCTCTATCAGACCCTTCCTGTTGACCAGCTCCTCCTCGGAGTCGATCTCTGACTCGATCTCCTTCAGATACCAGTTCACCACTGCACTTTTCTTCAGCTCCTCCTCTTCCTCAGCTGCAACCCAGGTATCAGTCAAAGGTTAGACTGGATGATACAACAATAAGACATTCTTTTGAGTAGTATGAAGGGGGACATGTCTTACCCTCCTCTGCCCTACGCAAATGCAGGACCAGCAAGTTGGAGATGCGTCTGTACTCTGCGAAGGAGAGGCGGAGAGACGGTTTGGGATGGCTGCCAGACTCCGTGTGGCCGCTCACACCGTTGCCGTGGCCATTCATGCCAGTGACGTGCCCGTTAATGCCATTAACAGGGCCGTTTACGCCGTTCACTCCGTTAGGGACGGCGTTTCCTGCAAAGGCAAGTTTGCATTAGATGAAACCTCGCGATGCCTTTACGTGGATAAACATGCAACATTAAGTTAATGTGTACATTTGTCTCCAAGAGAGTGTGTGTTTGTATGCGTCAGTACCATCCTCCTCCTGCGGCTCCTCCTCTTCCATTTCGTCCTCCTGTTCTAGGTTGATGTCGGGCGTCTCCACTCTGATGATGGATTTGTTCAGGAGACGGAAGGCTTCCTTCACATGCTTGGGCTGCACCTGAAGACATACAGAGAAAGGCAAAGGTCAACGCTCTGTATCACGTAATGTTGCCTGGGAGTAGTTAAGGTTTTTCATGTTTTTGGCTCCCACCTCATCACAGCAGTGCATGCGCGCCATGCCCTCTGAAAGGCGGATCATGCTCTCCAGCTGTCGCACCGTTATTCTCCAGGCAGACTTAGACACGCCTCCGGAGCCGTCACGCTGACGCAGACGCTTGTACTGCTCCACAATGAACTCTTCCGATTCGCTGGAGATCTACAGGTGCAACGAAATGTGCAACGATTAATACAAATCACAAGAGCCAGAACTGTAGTATACGACACAATCAGCGCAGGCAGACACGCACCTTAGGCTTGAACTGCCTGGCAAAGAGCAGGTATCTGCGGATCTCATCCAGAGAGTACAGTCTGTCCACAGATTCCTCTATGCGGGTGTGCAGGTCCACAATGCGTCTGGCGATGGCGTAGTCCGTCACCTGCAATACACACAGATGCACATACAGCATTAGACCAAGCCAGATACAAGTTTCAGAATCCCTGTAGGGCAATTTGGATTATTATAGCATCAGATAAGAGGATGCAAGACAACAAATGAGAGGGTAAATGTAATGCACTCAGCTTAACTTTAATTTAAGTTTATTTGATAATCAGTGCAGGAATAAATACAGAGTGTGCTGCGTACCTCATTACAGTCGTCCACCAGGATGAAGAAGAGGTCGAAGCGGCTCATGATGGGGGCAGTCAGGTTGACGTTCTGCTTCAGGCTCTTGCTGCGGTCGTAGCGCCCGCCGACAGGGTTGGCGGCAGCCAGAATGGATGTGCGAGCGTTCAGGGTGGCCTGGAGGAGACAGAGGTAAAGTCTGGTTATTCTACTGCAGAGAGGACTGAAAGGCCTCTTGGGTAAAATCTTGGCTTATAACATCTCAAAAGCAAGTTGTAAACTGTTTGAGTTGTACATCATGCTGAAGAAATGTGTCCTTCATGGACAATAAAAGTGTCTCTCTGGACTCAAATTTATTGGAAAAGAAGATTTGTCATCTTTCATTTTTATTTTTTACCACACAAGAGTAAATTCATTTCTGACATCATGATAACAGTGAGTCCTGAATTTCAGAATGTGTAATGTTCCAGTGTTGAGTGTATGCTGATCCGGCTGATCGATTCATTACCTTGACTCCAGCCTTGGTGATGCTGATGGTCTGCTGCTCCATGGCTTCATGGATGGCCACCTGGTCCTTGAGGTCCATCTTGTCAAACTCGTCAATGCAGCACACGCCCTGTAGGGGAAACACTGGCATCAGTACGTCTGAATACACTTCATCATGTCCCTCGCTGCCCATTGTGACTCAACACTCACGTTGTCAGCCAGCATCAGAGCTCCGGCCTCGATGACAAACTCATGGGACTCTTCGTCTCGGACCACGGCTGCCGTCAGACCTGCAGCGCTGCTGGCCTTTCCGCTGGTGTACACAGCTCTGGGGCTGAACTCCTCCACGTGCCTGTACACACACACACACACACACACACATTTAAAAAGACTATTTTTAATACATTCAATAGATAAAAACGTAGTTGCTGTAGTTAAGTAGTTGCTGGAAACGTGTCTGCTGGGTTACATACTTGAGGAACTGGCTCTTGGCGGTACTGGGGTCTCCGACGATGCAGACGTTGACGTCTCCTCTCAGCGAGGTTCTCTCCATGGTCGTCTTGGGAACGCCTCCGAACAGCATCAGCAGGATGCCGCGCTTCACCTCGTCATTGCCTGCACAACCACAGTCACCATGTAAGTGAAAATCCTCAGCTCTAACACCCTCGGACAAAGCTGTCAGACAGAAAACGTTCAGCGATGGTTCAGGCACTGACCGTGGATGGTGGGGAAGAGGCTGGTGCACAGGTTGTGGTACAGGTTTTTGTCTTGGCTCATCTCAAACACTTTCTCCCACTCCTTCTCTGTCATCTGGCTCTTGATGCTTTCTGCTGTCTGCTCCTCCTCCCGCAGCTCCTTACCGCCAAACTACAACAAAAGGAAACACACATTTCTAACTAAACACCAGCCATGTTTGAAGCTTTTTTTTGCTTCTTCTGTTCGAGTGGGTATTAGCTTCTGTGAGTGTCTCTTACTCGTGGGTTGGTTGGGGCCACGTTGCAGGCCAGGAAGGCCAGTCTGTATGAAAGCTCTCTGACTCCCAGAGCCTTCAGCCCTCTCAAACCCTCAGACTCAAAGCCCTGGGGTCCTCCGGCTACACGGGTACTGGTCTCTGCTCGCACACCTGTACGGGAAAACCAACACAGATAGTCGTGAGGTGCAAAAAGAAACCAAAACAATTTATTGAAGTACTTTCTTTTCTCAATTGGTGACAATTTGGATCAGGACCATACCAGGAGTGCGCAGCTGGGACACATCCGGCACAACAATGAGGGTCCCGGTGAAGTCACAGCGGTCTCCGGCCTGAGCCGTCTCCACAGCCTCGGCCCTCAGGACGACCTCCAGGGAGCGTGGGATTGAACCACGAGGCAGCTCCGCCTGCGTCTCCTGGATACGGACCTGAGCGCACACAGTTAAGACTCAATCAGACACCTCAGGACTTAAAGCTGTCTTCAGTACCTCTGTATGTTCGCAGGGACACACACACCCTCTCTTTTATTTACCTTCTGGAAGTCGATGAACTTGGATTTGTGTGTGTCCAGGTGGAAGCGGGCACGATTGCTGCAGACGGGGTTCCTGCAGATGGTTGGTGGGGAGTATTTGAACTGCTGAGGGACGTCTTTGATCACTGCCTGGCAGTCCATGCACAGGAAGGTGCCGCTCACCTGCAACCAAAAAGGAGTCTTTGTAATGAGCAGGCTGTAACAGACAAGCTCAACATTACTACGTTTACGCTCCACAGCTTTGATTTTGCACAGCTGCTACCTCACACCACTGACTGTCTTTGTGCATGTGTTGACTGCAGGACATCTTACCAGTTCAGGGTGTACTGGGTGTGTCCTCACCACCTGACCACTGATCCTCACCAGGGTGCCAATACGCATGGATGACAGCTCACGGATCCTAGATTACACACAGGAAAAGGGTTTTATATATTGCTCTAGGTTCACTCATGTAACAGATTAATCAAGTTTTAGATTTTGAAAGTAAAATTATAGCAACAATGTGAATGTGAAATCACACTATATTATATTGTAAAGCAATATGGAATAAACTGAAAGCAGTTATTCACACCATAACCAGCACTTAATGTAGGTCTGTCATGCGTCTTACTTGTGTCTGGTGGGCAGATCCTCGAGGGCAACGTAGAACTCTTTGTTAAGAGGAACATTCCCATGATCCCGAGCAAAGTTGCGCACTGCCCGGCAAAGGAAGGGGTAAACTCTGAAAACACAATGCTTCATGTTAGTCCAGAGCTGCAGCTGCATGGCTCTTAATGCAGTTAGTATAATAT